CCTTCAGAAATCATTCTAATATGCTGAATTGGTGCTCAAGAAACAGTTGGGCTGCTTGATATTTTTGAGGAAAACTTGATACATTTTTTTTTCAGGATTCTTTGATGAATAGAAAGTTAAATAGAACATCATTTATTTGAAATAGAAATCTTGTAACATTATAAATGTCTTTTATTGTCACTTTTGATTAATGTAATGTATCCTTTCTGAATGAAAATATTAATTTCTTTAAAAAACAATATGTAATATTATTATATAAATATATATTACTCCAAACTGTAGTGAATGTGTCAAAGTTCTTCAAACCTTCTGCTGTTTCTGGTTGTGTGTAGCACCTACTGCTCTGTAGTAGATCTATGTGAAGTATAAACTATATGAATCCCAAATGGAATGGTTTGATCTGGACCTTTTTTTAATTATAGAACTTGTAAATACTCATATAAAGAAAGCAGCTGTCGCATACAGATTTGTTATGCTTGTTTGACTTTTTTCGTTTCTTCTCCAGGTGCCGAAGTCAGGAGAGCAGGTGGCTCATAATATAACAGAAGCTTGTGTGGACACATCGGGTGCCATGAAACAAGTGTCCTACAAGACCGAAATCATTGCAGGAGTGCCCATCATCACCACCACACAGGTCACTTAACCTCACGACACATTATCATATATTAAAGGTGGCTCCGCTGCAAAAACAAAATCCTGCAAGATACTCTGAGCAGTACCATGATACCTTGATATATATGTTGTGGTACTAAATGATTACCACTTTCATTTACCATGTGTTTGTGCAGTATCATTACTGATGTAGCTAATGCAACACATTTGAATAAAAAAAAATGGATGATGTAATAAACTTTGTTGTATGGCACTGGCTCTCAGGAGAAGGGCGAGGATCAGAATGGTGCAGACAGGAGCGGGCAGAGGAAACCTCCCAGTCAGCTGCCGTATTACTTGAGCCGGAGTAACCAAGACCAGTCAGTCATTAAAGCTGGATATTGTGTCAAACAGGGAGGTGTGGTGAGTAAGAAGTGAAGAATAAGTTTGTATTTTAGTTTTTGTTGAGTATAATATTTCATCCATTAGACTTTTATGGCTTTTATAGTATGTTATAGGAGAATGCGGAGCTCATACTCGAGAAAGGGAGGGGGGGGGGGGGC